CATGCTGCACCTCGTGATTCGAAATGCCACACCATCAAAACCTGACACAAAAACTCAACAAAAACCCGCAAACGCCAAAACTGCAAATCTACAGCCACGGGCCAGAAAGTAAAAGAATTGAAATCAACCGGGTCTCACCTCAGCCTGAATCTTGGCCTGCAGTGATCGGCAGGTTGGCCTGCGAGATCGGGCTTTCGACTTAGGGAGCTTTGCAGACAAACTTGGAACTCTTGTAGAGGTCACTAACAGTAAGGACCCTGCTATATCCCACTGTGTAGGCAGGATCTACACTAGTGCTCCCTGTTTCGCGAAACTCCCACTCAAGCATTGCAGGCTTGAGTGGTATCGAACCTCAACTTGAGATGCTGCTTCTAGATGTGTATCGAGCGCCACCAGTGTAAGACTTTCCCCGGGTTTCAGGCACAGACTTAAGAATTTTTCACCACCCCCTATGCATCTATCTCTCCACCTGTCTATGTATTAATCTAATTTCTCTATGTCTACCGATCTATCTGTCCGTTTCTCTTGCTTGGCCCGAAGGCCTACCCTCCTGAGGTTCGCGTCTGGCAAGTCTGTGCGACCTCTTTCCGGGCATGGAAGTGATCCGGTTTCCCCCCGTCTGTGCCTGTAAACCCGTCCCCCAACAACCACACCTCCTAAACCCTTACCATGACAAACCTGTCAGGCGGCAGACGGGTCATCCGGGGCTCCCCAGTTCGACTACTTGTGGACATTCTCGAACTTCAACCAAAAATCACACACAGGTTATGGCATGCGCTATCCGTGTTTTCCTCTCTCTCTCTCTCTCTCTCTCTCTCTCTCTCTCTCTATCTCTCTCTCTCTCTCTCTCTCTCGGGCATCGGGGTCGGTCAAGAATGTAATTTTTACTAATTGGTATTCTCGTTTTTTAGCCATTATCTTTTCTTTGTTTTCTGCGTAATATTTTTTAAAATTCGCACTTCTTTGTTCCTTGTTATTGTTACCACGTTCTCTGCTTCGTTCTTTGAGTTTTTCTTTATTATCTTCATAATATTTCGCCCAGTTATTTTTAATTCTGTCTTTATTCTCTTCTCTATACTGTTTGTAATGTTCTTTGTTGTTTTCATAATATTCTTTCTTTCGCCGGGTTATGACGTCTTTGTTTTCATCACGGTATTGTTTCTTTTTGTCTGCCAATTCTTCTTTGTGTTCTGTTTGATATTGACGATGATATTCTAGTATTTTTTGTTTATTGTCTTGTTTCCACTCTTGTACCGTTCGGTCTTCAATTCTTTTGTTTAATGATGGTTTTAATTCTTATAATTTCACCCACACGCTTTCTTAATTGTTCAATATTTTCGCATGGGTATTCTTCATACAATTCAATGTAAAAGTGTTGTTTTCCTATTTCTCTCATCTTCTGATATATTAGCATGCTTCCATCTCTTTCGCTCGTCATGCGTGACCTATGTTTTTGCATTCGTTTGCTTAACGGTTGAGTTGTAGAGCCTACTTATATGTCATCGCTTACTGAATTTCTGATACAGTAAATTCTACCATTGTCATAACTTTTTTTATTATTTTCTACCATAATATACTATAACATTTATTCTTTATAAGATTTTCTCATTATTCATTCACTTAATCATAGACCACCGTCCCATCACTGCGAATCTCGGCTATATTTTCCGATATGAGATGAACAAATATTTCCTGTATAACTTCATTTTCTGATAGAGGTTTATATGGTTTAATCTTAGCTGTCATTAATGACCCCATCTTTGTATTTATACCTGTTAGATTTTGCTCGTTCATTTTTTCAAACGTTATACCAATAATGAACTTATTTGCTGCGTATTGTTCATAAGTAATGCTACATGCGTCTTGGTCTGGGTTCATGTATGATAACATACGACGTAAGAAATACATGTGTTCTGCAAGAGACTGAGATTCAAATTCTGGGTACTTGCGATTTGCGATCTGCACCTGCCACGAAATGTTATAATTCTTGTCAGCAAATCCATAACCAGCGTCAGCACCAGTAGCATTAACGCCACGGTCGTTAAATCTTGAGTTAATCATAGGATTATAGAAATAATTGAATCGCTTATGAACATAGTTGTCTGGTAAATAATAATTGTCTTCTTTTCCCTTTGTTAGATGACTACCTCTTTGCGTTCTGTAGAAGGTAATGAAAGCACCGTTTAACTTACTTGCCGACTTTACGACATTCATATTAATTTCTGTTCCATTTACGTTAAAGCTTTGAGTTATGGTGTGATACATCGGATAAACAATTTTTAATGAACCACCTTGTAATAAATGACTGGTAATATTATTATTCACTGCACTATCTAAGGTTACGACTTCCGCTCTTAAAATAATATTGTTAAGTTGCCATTTTGTCGTAGTATCTCCTTCAGTAAAATAAGCACCGCCTCTGTCAAGTCCGATAGTTGTAGCACTCCCCGAACTTACTCCTTTAATTACTGGTTCATCAGCATCTGATACGATGGTTATCTCTATTTCCAATGGGGCATAGCGAACTGGTAGATAATAGTTGCTTTCCAAAAATCCACATTTAAACTGATGCCCTAATCTGAAATATTCACCTTTACGAATGCCACGTACTGAATGACGAGTATAACGATTGGATATTTTACCCCATTTATTATGGTCGGTGTAATCTTTGGCATCTGCTCCCGTTGGCAGTTCTGCCTCTGTTCTAGTGACATTATCATTAGCATTATTAACTAATACAAATTGGTCTAAGCCATTAGCATATTTATGTCGCCAGTCGTCGTCCCATCTAGGATTAGCACTACTTTCTATGTCGTCCATATGTCGCGCTTCAACCGATTTAAAACTGTCATATAACTCACAATGTCTATTATATTGGTCAATGTCTTGAACCAACTGACCCCCGACGGTGCATCTATAACGATTGAAAAAGCCATGCAATCCTGTTAGTGGTCTTAAAAACTGAGCATCGGTATCACCGTCGTTTTGAAGATTGGCAAATAAACGAAGACTTGATAAATCTAGATAGGTTCCGTCTTCACCTGTAACGTAAAACCTAATGTTTTTGTTCCCCGTGGCACTCGTGTAGATGTTGCTACCCGATGGAAAATAATTTACGTGTCGTCGGTCTGTTACATACTGCGCGCTTTTATCAGTTTATGTATGTAATTGTTTATAACACAAGCGGTGGTAGTGTTCAAGCATATTTAAAAATTGACTTGAAAAACCAAGTCTTCTTCGCTTCTCAACTAGTGGGTAGAATATCTAAGTTATTAGTCAAGAAGCGGTTAGTCAAAGTCTCCCGTCTAATCTTTTCACATCAAGTTATGACAGCGACCAACGACGAATGATATTGAATATTACTGATAACGCCTACAGGTTCAAAGTGCCAACTGATAAGGAATTACAAGAAAGCACCATATGGAGCGGTAATATACTAGAAGACCCGATGAGTGTAAATAACCTAATAGGTAATTATGAAGCAACGGTGCCAACCAATACAACATGGACAAGCGGATTGATGAACCTTAACCCGTTTAACTCACTATATATTATATGCACAGAGTTAAGCGACTTTCACTATTCGGCGCCCGACGGATACAGTAATAGCATAATAAAAAAGGTTAACATGATGTTCAACGTTGGAGGTATAACTGTTTCCACATCGCCCCCTTTGGTTAATATTGGATTGATGTTTCAAACAGATCGTTAAAACGCTTAAGATTTAGAATTACCGACGCACGAGGTAAAACTATAAACTTGCATAATGCCCCTGTTTCATTTACATTGCTATTTGTTAATCTTTGATGATTTTAACTATGACTTAGAGTGTCTATTTCTTTTCTATTTAATTAAAATAGAGATAATATAGACTAATATATATTATGACTGAGGATGATTTTAATAATGAAGTAAGCAACGACAATACAAATGAAGAAGCAACTGAACCACCGACAGATACAAAGATTGAAACAGTTGAAGAACCAACGCCTAAAGAAGAAGCAAAAATAGAAACAAATGAAGTTAAGGAAGAAGAACCACAGTTTAAAAATATAACTGATAGACCAAGGAATAAAAAAGTAAATTGTAAAGATTGTGGCGCCAATGTTACATTGAAGACGTTAAGATACACGCATAAATGTAGCAAAACTGAAGATAAACAAGTGAAACCGAAACCAAGGACAAAGCCCAAAATAGTAGCAATACAACCAACGATAAAAGATGAAGTTGTAACAAATGCAGAACCAGCATATATACAGCAAGTTGAACAACACTTCAGAGAGCCAGAACCACCGCCACCAATTGCAAAAACACCACAAGAAATTATTAATGAGAATTTTATGTTAATACAGCAACAGTACATTAATCAGAGAAGAGAGAAAGCAAATACATTAGTTCAAAGTATGTTTTCCGGAGGATTAAGAAATAAAAGGCGATAATAATAAAATCTGATATATTATATAAATGTTTTCTAGAAAGTATAATAAAAAGTTAAAAAGAAACAGCATCCCGAGGATATGAAAGGGTTTAAGATTAGCACGGCAACTAAACAATATAGCCCTTTTCAAATGCAAATATTTAGAGCATTTACGAGAACATCAAAAACTGAGAGAAGCATACGAAGGTAGTATTCTTAAAAGAAACGAATTGCTAGAAAGTAACAAACGGAAAAATTATCAGAATGAACTAGACCGACTAATGAATGAACTATATCGTCCGAACTTACCACATGCAAGCATTCAGCATATGAAGAAAAGATTTAATGAATTAATGAGCTTATTTCCAGTATCTGATGCTACAAAAAAGAAAATAGAAGACAGACTGGAAGACTTACAACCTAGTAATATATATTCAACCCAACGTTATATAATTATTTTATCTAAATATAATTATATAAACTAATGGCAACGAAAACAGCGAGATTTGAATTAGTTAATCCTTATCAAAAATACGGCTTGGAAAGAAAACCTACCTTCAATGAAATTTTAGGCTTATTAAGTGAAGATGAAACACTGTTACGACCCTTTCCAGACAGAACAGCAACACAGTTTAGAAATTCACCGCAGGGCAGTTTCTTTGATGGAAGCGACCACGTTGAATTGTTACAAGAGCAACAGAACAGAGTATTAGATAGACAGATGAGAGAGATGATTTTGAGAAGACAAGCACAACAAAACGGAGGAACTTTTCATGTAGATAGGCATAATGACAATGTTTATGATGATGATAGAGCCAGTCTGTGGTCAGGAACAGGAAGATTAACTCCTTCAGGTGTGAGTGAATCTCAAATTGTATATAGTGCAGACGCACAACGAGAACTAGAAGAAAGAGCAAGACAAGAAACACAAAGACGACAAGAGGTCAGACAAAGACACGGGGAAGCAGTTAATCGGTTGAACGACACACTAACACGAAATATGTTAAGGTCTGGGTTTAATGACTTGCAAGGAATGCCAGAAACAGAACCATTACAAACTGATGTGTCAGATGAAGAGTTAATACCAGCAGATGACACAGTTAGACCTTACCAAAAGAACATATTGTATTTTAACAATGATATTGAAGCAATGAAAAACAATGAAAGGTTAGATTATAACGACTTACTGTTTCAGCTTTATGTTAGAGGTAGGTTGACAGATGACATTACTAACAGAGTTGAAGCATTGCCAGATGATATATCTAGAAAGATTTATTTATTGACAATTGTTCGTGATTTAATCGGAGACGGAACAGGTGATAACAATTGGCAAATTGGCGTTGAAAGTAATCTTTTAAATTCTAGAATAAGAGAATGGCGTGCACTTCCCCCCTGCACGTCCTTTGCGCTTGTGCACACCTACGAAGCTTTCTCAACATCGGCGTCTGTTCACAGAACCCTGAACAACAAGCTTGAGCTTGTGCTCGCTCTTGCGCTCGAAGAGAGTCGGGGCGGGTTGGGGTCTGGCCTGAAGCCTAAGCCCTTCCCGACGGACGGCCTTGTTTGACCCTTCGCCCTGTGCTTTGGAGCTGATGGCAACGGCATTGTAGGCCTTGTTGCTGAAGTCCTCTCCAAGCATTGGGGCTTAGAGCTTCAACTCAACTCACGACCTTCGCGTCAAAATCCATCATCAGAGAAGAAAAGAACTGCATCATCCATGGAAACCCGCGTGATACTGCGGTAGGCTCTTGTTGCCGTTGTTGCCTTCTTGTCCTGTAAAGCCTGGAGTGCAAAGAGCCACCCCGATGCCATTTCAGGCACAGGGAGTCTCCCTGGCGTAGGTCGGACGTGGAACGTGACACAGTTACGTAAGAAGAAGAACCGTCGGGTTTGGAGGTGCTTGGGGCAAGCGCCGTGCCTCAGAACCCACGTGCCGGCCCAGAAACCTCGCGTCTGTCCTGCAACCGCTGTGTAAAGTCTGGCCGAGAGCCGTCGGCATCACCTGCTCGACCCATCTGCAGCATGAGCGGAGCTGACAGCGTAGAGCTGGCAAGAATAAACAGCCAGAGACCCGAAGCCGAGAACTCTAAAAGTAACATTATCGACTCTCAGAACTCCGGTCAGCCCCGCAAGGAAGAGCATGCCAGGCCCTTTGCGGCCAGTGGGAGTCAGCCGTCAACGCGTCGCGGCGGAAAGTGTATGTTCAACATCCCGCTCCCCACGACAGTTCAACATTCTTCCAAACCGGATTTAGCACTCCCTGTCGGTTCCCCGTGCTTCCCTGCGCACAGTTTTTATTTGCAGCCTGCTTTACAACTCTGCACCTGATGACATGCAGATGGTAGGACCTATTTGGTGTTGACGCAGCCCCGAAAACCACAGACTCGCGGTTGGGAACTTGTTCTTAAATGGGATTCATAAGATCCTGAAGAAGTCTACCTGGCTCTACAGGGTAAAGACTAAGCCGAGCACTCTTTTGGGGCGGGCAAACGATTGTCACGGCAAACAGCTTCATAGACGGGTCTTCCCAGCTGGGAATAGACTGGGTCTTGCTGCCTCATTCAACATTAGATTTTAAATATGATACCATTGCAGATGTGCTGCGCAACATGACATAGCATCAGCTGCGTTACTACGACTCTACGTCAGAAGCAATACAAACACAAGAGCCTGCATTTTTGCAGTTTCACCCGGCTCGGGATATGGGTACCTTATTTAGGGGTCTTTATAATAAGGATCCTACTATTTGGGGTACTATATCAGGGTCCCCTATCTTCGGCGATCTTTTACAGACTCGGGGACAGTTCAGGCCCGGGCCTAAGGCTGCATCGGAGAGTTTGTCGCTGATGTGATGCTTCATGAGGTCCTTCGGAGAAGGGCTACTCTAAGAGCGCCCCTGGTCTCGGCTGTGGGATACAGCTGAGAGCTTCAGGCCTTCAGGCTTTTCAAACTCTAGTCGGGATCAGTGCTGCATCTGGAAGCTCCCCCAGCTCTAATTCAGCACGCCGCTCCAGCGTCTCGTGCAGCATGTTGGCAAACTCCCCAGACATCTCGTTCATTCGCTCGTTTAGGTGCCTGGAGGCCGTGGCTTTCGGTGTGTGGTGCATTTGCCAAAGCTAACCATACATGCAAAGCGCACGAGGTTTGAGAACTTTGCCGGCGGGGGCTATCCTCTGATGAAGAAGCTGGTGGCCCTGACACAACCAGACAGCTCGCCTGAATCAAGCTCTGGAACTCTGAAAGCTTTCGGGCCAAGTTCAGAACCTGCAGGATATGAACAGCACAACACTGAAGTTTAGCACTATCTTAAGCATCGCACCTTGCGAAAACAAAGAGAAAAGCCTGACACCTGATGAAACTCCAACAGCCCCACAAACGGGCCAAGGCTGAAGCTTGATCTGCTGGTCCTTGTTATCGATTTCATCATCCTGACACGTTTGGAGCACGTCTTCGCATGCGTCAAGCCGAGGTCAAGTTGGCTGAGAATGTGGGCCGTGCTCTGAAGCCTCTGGCAAAGGTGTCTGGGGTCGCCACCAGATACCAGGAGCCGTGGGAAACCGCTTGCCTTCCCCCCCCCCCCCACCCCTCAAATACTCCCCCCCTCCGCGCTGGGCGCGCAGCGCGCATTCACCCGGCCCGGCTGGCATTGTGCAGCACACAGAGCCTGATCCATGCCACCCTCCTCTTACATTATGGTATGTTCGCGCGACATCCTTCAACCCTTGAAGCTTCCCAAACCGGCGTGCCGCAGACGCTCGACACGTCCGTCGGCTTCGGATACGCTCGCAGCCGCTCCGCTTGGTCGAGATCGTGCCAGGCAAAGCGAAGCTTCTGCTCAAGAAGATCATCGCCGATGTGTGCAACAAGGGCCCTGGGCATTCGCTTCCTTTGTCTCGGGACCTTCTCGTGGCTAGATGAAAATTTTTGGGTGTGGAGCCAACAGGCCAAAGGGCAAAGTACGGCATCGAAAGGCGTCAACAACGGCGTCAACCGCCCACGAAAACTTCCAAGCTAACATCTTCAAAAGCTGATCCCAAAAGCCCCCCCCGAGCCTGAAGTCCTCGAGATCCCAGATGCCAAAATCGCAACCCTGCTTGCCCCTCTTCATGCGCCAGCCCTGCTTGCCCCAAGCCCGAGCACAAGAAACGACAGCTCAGCCTTGTCGCGGGTCAACTCCTGGCGGGGGGAACGGAAGAACAAACATGTGTACGTTCGATGGTTGTGCATTTAAGCAAAATATCAACATATTCGCTATTCGAAGATGAACTTCTTGTTGATGTACAGTTATGATACTCCTCTTATGCTTACTGTTCTCATGGTGTACTATGGAGTTCCAAAAATGTTCCCAATCATCAAACAGATCAAACATGACAGAACAATGATACTATTTAGAATATGAACAAGGCATGCGCAAGTTCAGGAAGCAAACGAGATTCCTGTCAGAGAGGCGGGTAAGGAGGAATGAGAGCCTGGCTCCTAGGCCTGCCCCCGTTTGAGTGTCTGACTGTTTGCTCTGGGCAGGATTCTAGGGTCCGGTGGACAAGAGGCTTGGAAAAGTATATACTGGAGGTCGTCTGTTGTCTTGACCACCCGAAAGGCTCGCCTGGAAAGCCTATACTTCCTGCCCATTCGGTGTAGGCCAAGCCAAAAGGGTGCAAAATCGCGGGTGTTCATGGGGTGGTCGTAGCTCCGAAAAAGAGCAGTAGTAGATGGCAGATAGACAAGAGTAGATGGTACGCAGATGGTAGGTGGTAGGCGGGATAGCAGATAGTAGATGCATCAAAGTAGAAGTTGTCGTCGCCTGGGAGATCTGGAAGTCGGTAGGATATGACATAAGGCATAGAGGATTGCAGGTAGTTTTGGGGTTCCGAAACCTCAAGGGGTTCGATCTTCAGCTCTCCTTCAGCTCGAAGTTTGTAAGGTCCAACTCCTCGGTCTGCTCCGTCAGCTGGATCTCCTGGGCTTTGGATTTCGGTTTCAAGGGGGCTTGGGTCTCAAGGGCCCCTGCACCAATTGCTAAACAACAGAAACCTTGAGCCTGAAATCTTGAACAACTTGGACTTGGGAGTTCCACGGCGGAGGACATGACAAACCTTTTCGGGCTGAGGGTGTCGTAGAGGAAATGTTCGGAGATGCTCAAAGCTGGCCTGAGCCTTTCGCACCGCAGCTAACCGAGGGCACCAAACGCTAAAATCCGCTAAAACATGCCAAAAAGCCCTGACACGACCTGAGCGGCCTCTGGCCGGTCCAGAGCCCGAACCCGAAAGCTACAGAAAGCTAGAAGCCAAGGGTAGCCCTCGCTTGGAATTTTAGGAAGACAGCGACGAAGCTGTAAACCCCGTAGAGCGGCCTAGAGCTGCTCCCTGAAACCGAATCCCATCTCAGGCGTCCAGGGAGTTGATCTTGTAGATCAGCTCTTCCTGGAGGGCCTGTGCAGCGAAGTGTCTCGTGCCCAAAACCTTAAACCTCCAAAGGGCCTCTGTGGGATTTAAGTCAGGCCGGCTGGCAGTGTCGGTGGCGTGGCTTGGAGGCTTCGGACTTCGTCCGGGCAGTCATCGAAGGGAAGCTAGAAGCGCATAAAATACGAGAAAGACAATCATCATAAACATGGCTTCCATGACCATACACCTCAGTGGAGCAGTAGAACCCAGCTAAAGAATCTCATTGCAAGCATCATCACCAGCCACATCATTATAATCTTGTTGGTCGAGGTCGCCGTTGCCACAGTCACCACCACCACGCCGTGGCAATGCTGCTGCTACTCACTGCAAGCATGCGGAGTGCGAAGAGAGACCACAAGCGTGCCTTGTACTGGCGAGCCATGTCTGCCGTCACAGCATAGGTGTTGTTCTGCTCCTCGCATCATTCCGCCCTATGCTAGGTAGACTCTGAGCCTTGAACTGTGACCCCCGGACCCTGCTCCAGGCAAAGCAGACTGGTGCGACACCCGGCTGCTGTCCTGCTTGAAGTCCTCCTCCATCCTCAGACAGGCATGCGCATGACACCGCGCAGCAGGGCTACATAAAAAGCTTCTGGACTGCAGGCTGACAACCCAGCTGACATGCGTCGGGCTTGTAAGGAGAATCTGAGCCTGACACTGCTCGACCTGAAGTGCATGTTCTCTGACAACGGACAGTCGGATAGGCATGAGAAGCACATGTATAGTACTGGTACGTTCGCCTCAATGCCAGCAGCCATTTTCCACTTGGCACTTCGCATTGATAATCATAAAAGGAGCGACCTTGTGAGAGGCCTTGGATCTCTGTGTGGAACAAGCCTCCTCAGGAAAGGCCTCCAGCGATCTCTCAGCCAGGGAAAGGCTCCGCATGCGTGGTTCGACAGCGGGGCCCCTCTCCCAGCGTCACTCTTCACTGCAGGAACACTCCCAAGAGGCTTTGCTCAGCTTAGCAGACATTGCATGAGGTATCCATAACTATGTACTACGAGTATGACTTCCGCAAGCGCTGCCTTGCAGCAACGTGCAACAGAGGCTTCGGTCCCTGGTGCTCGAAGGGAGGAGCGGCCTTCAACTTAGCAGGTCGGGCAGGCCCCAGACTTCACGTCCACAGGATGCCCGGGGGCACCGGCTGCTCGGACTTCGAGTGAAGACTGCCGCGAAAATCGGAGGAAAATCGATTTTTTTCTAATTGGAGCCGCTTACGTGGCTGAAACACTTTGCCACGACTGTCCTTCTATTTTTCTACGCATGGCAACCATTGAACCCCGTCCTTTTACAGAAAGCTAACACGTTTACAGAATTGACGCTCAACTTTGCCCCGTGTCTGCCCACCTCCGCGTACGTGAGCACATCCGTGAACCATCTCAACACCACTCAACACCCTGAAGTCTGCCACTTTAAGTACAATCCTTTCCTTGAAGCCTACTGCCTACCTACTAGCGGCAGGCTGGCGCTTGTTGCAGTCGTCACCGAATGCGATCTTTCCATCCTGCCCCAAGCTGTGCGGGCGAAGGCAAAGAGCAAGAAGACTACAGCTACATGAAATCAACAGAACACGCAGCACATTCACGTGATCGGCGCTCGCCAAAACCCTGGATCCGGGACTCCGAAGACTTCCGGTGCACTCGCCGGCTTGGACCCACTGCAATTCCCACATCCCTCGAACACAACAGTACGTGGACGAACTGGTGGAGATTGGAGCCGAAGACCCGCAACGCTTGAACCTTAGACTATGTGGGTTTCTTTGGGGACCGGCCGCCTTGCGGCAGATGCGCAGGAAGCTGAAAACTCCGCACCCTGTGGTGTCATCCTGGGGCACTCGGGGAGCTTTGCCTCTCTCTCCCTCCCTCTCATCCATCTGTGTCCCACCCTGGGCCAGGCCCGAAACCCCAACCGGCTTCCTACATCCCTTAGCAACTTCAACCCCACTCGCTCCGTTCTTCTGAAGATGTCAGCTCTTGCGCTTCGGGTGAATGGAACCGGGGAGACTCCGCGGGCACTAACCTGAACTCCAGTTTCCCCCATGGCCGTGACCGCTGCTGCTCTTCGACAAGATTTTCTCTTCAGACTTCAGACTCTCCATCTTCAAAAGCAAGTCCATGCTCGGAGCCCGCAAATTTATTGTAGGCACCCCACCTTCTGCATTTTACTTGTGCTTGTGCATTCCGTTTACAAGACCCGGAAATGTTGACTGGTTTCGTCTGTGCTCGTAACACTCGCTTTCAGGCATCCACAAGATGCTCAGATCAGTCATCCGCTAGTCTATTCGGGATCTATGCTCGCTCCTGAACTGGATGCTTGTGCTATGTGGCCCCCGTCACCGCTCGTTCGGTCTCTCCTTGCATACCCTTACACACCCACAGAACTGATGCCAAGAATCCTCACAAATCAACTGTCGTTAGGTTACATCGCAAAACCGAAACTCTAAACAAAGAGAGAGAGGCTTCGGGGGCAGATGCTTGCAGAAGATGATCTCCAATGCTGCCAATGCATACTATTCTGGCTGCTGCTGAGGCTGTTTCTTAGCAAACGCTGCTGCGGATGACTCATGCTTTTTGTGTTTGGCGGCTTGAGCGCTTTACGTTAAATTTCGGGAAAGATTAGATCCCATACCTGCTGCTGATCCATGGGCTCAGGAGGTGTGGATGGTGTGGAGTCCGGCACTTCAACTGGACGGTGTCGGGTCTTGTGGAAAAGGGCTCCTGCTACCAGCACCTATCACGAGAACGGCTTGAGGTGGCAATGCAGGGCTCTGACAGATCCTAGCCCTGGACACTGCTGCAACGTTGAAGCCCAGCAATTGAACTCCACTCAGGCAAATTGTGCCCATCGGTCTCCTTCGAAGGCCTTGAGAACCTAAAGAACGAAGCTTGCATCCTAAAATGTCAAACTCCTTCTGGCAAGTTGGAATTGAAAGAGTTCAGCTCCAGTTCGGCGAGTGTCCGTTTGTCCGGCGGCAAAGGAGATCAGGTTGGCAACAGTTCCAATGCTTCATCCGATCACCTGAGTTTGCATAGGACTTTGACGGCACTGTGTGGGCCATTTGTGGAGCTTCGACAAGCAAGCAAACAACAGCCCCCTCCCTCCCTGCGCCCTGCGTGTTGTACGCTTGGGCGGATCAAAATTTCTGTCCGAATCGATACCCGATCCTTACCCGGACCTTGAGTTGCCGCATGATAATCATGTGAAAACGACGTGCTTCAATCCTGCTCACTCATCTAACCCGTGAACGTTTCAATCGCAAGCAGAGCGGCGCGGCGGGCCGTCTTCGCTTCGGAAGGCACTGGGCTGGGGCCGCCGGACACGAGACTCGCTGCATGGGACGCCTGTCTTGGATACATACAGAAATGCAGAAAAGTTGAGATGGAGACAGACGCAGGGAATGGAACCACATGTCAGAACAGATACAAACACGGAAAGGCGCAGGTGGTGGATTGTGGCCACCTTAGGTATATATAGGCAGGGAGATAGGCCGATGAGCAAAGATAAATGCAGATTGCAGCGGACAGATAGACAAACAGCTTGAACGTCGATGACGTAGTTGTATGGGTCGAGGTAGACCAAACAGAGCAGGCAAGGCGAATGTTTTCCCTCCTACCTAGCAAGGACAGCGACAGTTTAAAGAGCTGTGCTGTGATAAGGCGAATTGGGATCGGGTTTTGCGCAGCATAGGCCTTTGGGGACTGATTCAAGAGCCAGAGCTTATTTCAGGAAGAGCCAGAGCTTATTTCAGGCTTTAGGGACCTGGTGGCCCTGGACACTCCCGTGCAGCTCTCACGATCAAGTCAACACCTTCAGCGTTAAGAGTGCCGAGATCAACGAACCAGACGGCAGCAAGCAAACCCTGGTCCTTACGTCTACATTACACGACGATCGTTTTCCCGAAAATGTCCAGAGAACCCCAAACCCAACATCCGCAAAAACCGCCTTTGCCACCGGCACACGTGGGCTCGGAGCGAGGAAGGTCCTCTGTCATGTCTGGGAATGGAAAGTCACGATAACCAAAACGTCCATGGCTGAAATTAGCACTCGGTGTTACCATCGTGCCTAGTGGTACGATGTAATGCCAATATCTGCCGCAACAAGAACTAGTAACAATGACAAAAACCACAACGGCAATAAATTCGTAGATGCACGCAACTTGTGCAGGACACTTTTCCGCCATTAGTTCGAAGAATACCCAGGATTCTAGATCACTGACACCTCATTCTGCACACCTACCTGTAAACTTGACATCCAAATATTTCCAACATTGATGCTTATGCTCGAGTTAACACTAACATTAAAGCTATTGACAGTCACTGGCACTAACGCCGACGACAACGACGACCACAACACCAACACCAACACCGCCACCACCCACCACCACCACCACACCCACCATTATGACCACCACAACCCACCACCCACCACCACCACCACCACCCACCACCACCACCACCAACAACAACAACAACCACAACAGCCACCACAGCCACAACCAACGACGACCAAAAACAACCAGCAGTGAGACGTGAGGTTCTCAAACAGAAGCGTGCGAAAGAGGCTGAGGGGGACCGAGAGACAGAGATACCGAGAGACAGAGAGGTCTCTCCACGGACGGACAGACAGACAGACACACACAGAGAGATAGACAGACAGACGGAAAAGGAGAGAAGGAGAGAAGGGCGGCAGATAGAGAGAGAGAGAGAGAGGAGTAAGGAGAAGCACCAAACAAAGGCCAAGCGCCAGAGTGCCTGAGACCTTTTGAGACAAAGACACAGGGAGGGAGGGAGGGAGGGAGGGAGGGATAGAGAGGGACAGAGAGAGAGCGAGAGAGACAGAGAGACAAAGAGAGAGAGAGAGAGAGAGCAGGAGAGTGATAGAGAGAGAAAGACAAGGGAAGACAAGAAGAAGAGAGGAGGGAGGAGACGGACTCGAACCGGAACAGCAGAAAAGGGTGAAGCAAGCGGGGAGAAGCAAGAGCAGCTTAAAACAATCAGAAAGACAAGAACACTGCACTTATAAATGCACGAAGCGACAGCTGAACTGGTGTCTCGGGTTGCATCCGGGCAGCTGTGCTAGGAAGAGGACTGGAGCAAACAGCAGCGCGACCGCCAGCAAAGAGAGGCGTGCCTTTGCTGTGTTATGCCGCTTTTGCACGAAATCTCCATGGAGGTTCTCATGCAGCCTTCCGAATCCTGGAGCATACCAGCACAGCAGCGACCCTGCCGGACGTGGGGGCCACGGGTGAGGCTTCGTTACAAAGTTCTCCGGCCTTTCGGAAAACCTGAAAAGCCGAAAATCCTGCGAAAGAGTTCGGCAGGCAGAGAAACCGCGTTCGGCAGGCTGAGAAAGCCCGACCAGTAGCATGCTGTCGAACTCTACAAACAGATGCCGGCCGGAATAATAGATAAAGAAGCATCGAGGAAAGAATGAAACCATCAAACACTCTAATTCCTCTCTCTCTCGCTCTAGGTCTGTCTCTCTCTCCCTTTCTCTCGCTCTGTTGTGGCTTCTCTTCTCGCCTGCATTCTCTGGAA